CCTCAGTGATCAATGCAAATAAATAGAGGAAACCAATAGAATGTGAAAGACTAGAGATCTCCTCAAGAAAATTAGACATACCAAGGGAGCATTTCACTCAAAGATGGGCACAATAAAGGACAGAAGGTATGGACCTAACAGAAGCAGAAGATATTAAGAAGAGGTATCAAGAATACACAGAAGAACTGTACAAAAAAGATCTTCATGACCCAGATAACTACAATGGTGTGATCATTCACCTAGAGCCAGACATCCTGGAATGTGAAGTCAAGTGGGCCTTAGGAAGCATCACTATGAACAAAGCTAGTGGAGGTGATGGAATTCCAGTTGAGCTATTTCAAATCCTGAAAGATGATGCTGTGAAAGTGCTGCACTCAATATGCCAGCAAATTTGGAAAACTCAGCAGTGGCCACAGGACTGGAAAAGGTCAGTTTTCATTCCAATCCCAAAGAAAGGCAATGCCAAAGAATGCTCAAACTACCGCACAATTGCACTCATCTCACACGCTAGTAAAGTAATGCTCAAAATTCTCCAAGCCAGGCTTCAGCAATACGTGAACCGTGAACTTCCAGATGTTCAAGCTGGTTTTAGAAAAGGCAGAGGAACCAGAGATCAAATTGCCAACATCCGCTGGATCATCGAAAAAGCAAGAGAGTTCCAGAAAAACATCTATTTCTGCTTTATTGACTATGCCAAAGCCTTTGACTGTGTGGATCACAATAAACTGTGGAAAATTCTGAAAGAGATGGGAATACCAGACCACCTGACCTGCCTCTTGAGAAACCTGTATGCAGGTCAGGAAGCAACAGTTAGAACTGGACATGGAACAACAGACTGGTTCCAAATAGGAAAAGGAGTACGTCAAGGCTGTATATTGTCACCCTGCTTATTTAATTTATGCAGAGTACATCATGAGAAATGCTGGGCTGAAGGAAGCAGAAGCTGGAATCAAGATTTCCAGGAGAAATATCAATAACCCCAGATATGCAGATGATACCACCCTTATGGCAGAAAGCGAAGAAGAACTAAAATGCCTCTTACTGAAAGTGAAAGAGGAGAGTGAAGAAGCTGGCTAAAAACTCAACATTCAAAAAACAAAGATCATTGCATCCGGTCCCATCACTTCATGGCAAATAGATGGGGAAACAGTGAGAGACTTTATTTTCTTGGGCTCCAAAATCACTGCAGATGGTGACTGCAGCCGTGAAATTAAAAGACGCTTGCTCCTTGGAAGAAAAGCTATGATCAACCTAAACAGCATATTAAAAAGTGGAGACGTTACTTTGCTGATAAAGGTCCATCGAGTCAAGTCTATGGTTTTTCCAGTAGTCATGTATGGATGTGAGAGTTGGACTATAAAGAAAGCTGAGCGCCAAAGAATTGATGCTTTTGAACTGTGGTGTTGGAGAAGACTCTTGAGGGTCCCTTGGACTGCAAGAAGACCCAACCAGTCAGTTCTGAATGAAAACAGTCCTGAATATTCAATGGAAGGACTGACAGTGAAGCTGAAACTCCAATACTTTGGCCATCTGATGTGAAGAGCTGACTCATTTGAAAAGACCCTGATGCTGGGAAAGTATCAAGGCATGAGCAGAAGGGACAACAGAAAATGAGATGGTTGAATGGCATCAGCAACTTGATGGACATGAGTTTGCATAAGCTCCGGGAGTTGGTGAAGGACAGGGAAGTCTGGTGTGCTGCAGTCCATGGGGTCGCAAAGAGTTGGACATGTGTGCGACTGAACTGAATGGATTGTGTGTGTGATGAGGATGGCATCATAATGCATTCTAAAAAAGGGCCCCAAAATCACTCCTCACTTTAGTTTCCTTAGGTTCAAAACATACAATATTCCTCAGAAACCAACAGAGCTAGAGAGCTGTTGGAATCTCTTCTGTTTTATCGGTACTCTAATTACTGAGAATAAGAAGTAGTAATTAAGGATTCTGAGGTAGTTCTAGTTTTGTAAAAACATTTACATCTACAAAGTTTGTTTCTTTCTCCTTGTAGCAAGGATCAGGAGATCGTGATGGGTTTAGAGATGTGAAAGATATGATTATGCAACATGCTTTAAAATTTTTTTACATGTGAAAAATAATAGGAAAGGTTGAGCTTTGAAACTTTCAGAAAGCATTGCATGTAATGTGAATATTTTTAGTTCCTGATGATTATGAAGTTTAGATTAGGAATGTGAATAGCATCTAATATAAAACATCTGGTGTGAAAAGTGTTATCACTCAGTTGGATGAAAGAATTGCCACACTTTCATTTATTGGATTGGGAACATATATAGGTTATTTAGTCTTATCATGTTTCTGCTAACAACAGGATCAATATGTCTTGGTGGAAGAAAGAAAACCCAAGAAAACCTTTGACTGTGAATTATATTTTTTTTCTTCTAATCATTTGGTATTCTTTTTCTTTTCATCATCCCCTTTAAGTCTGCATAGTTACATTATGGCTCATTGTTCATTTCATTTCAACTGCATTATGCAGTGCTTTGAGCACATGTACTCCAGACATCCAAAAATGAAGCTGTGTCTCTCTGCATAATGTGAAACATGATGCATTAATCAATGAACAAACAAATTATTCAGCAGAAAACTCATACTGGTGAAGCAAGAAGTATTTTTGCTGCACAACAATTATTTCTGCTGACTATTTTTCCCACATCTGTGCTTTTTTTTTTTTACCTTGAACTTTTTTAATACTTCTGAAGGTCACATTAGAAATCTATAGACTTTTTGTTGAAGATCTTGTGTGGCTTTTAGAATATAAATAAAATCAACATTAAGCATGTAGAGGGAAAGTCCTTATAATAAAGTTTTTAGACAGTATACGTACATCGCATATAGATAAGTGGTTCTTAACACTTTGTGAGGTACAGATTGCATTTGAGACTCTTAATAAAAGATCTGGACCTATGCTTCATAGTCTTTCGCATGTGCTTAGATGCATCATTTTGTTTACTATTTAAGGATCCACAGATTTCCTAAAAGCCATTCTTAGGTTGGGTCTGTGGATTTCAGTAAAGAATCTCTCATTTAGATGGTTTTTCCAATATAGACAATTCATGTTTCATGAGATTTTTAAAAACACTTTCATTTTGAAATATAAAGAGAAAAGTGCATAAAATAAAAGTACAGTTTAATAAAAAATTAAAAAACTCAACATACCAGAAATAGTTATTGCTAGTACCCTAGACTGTTCCTATGTATCCTTTCCTGATCACAGTTCACTGCCTCACTAATATTATCAGAAGAACCAGGATAAATATTCATTATTTTCTTTCTTCTGATAATTTATTGTACTTTTATATATTGTCATTGCATCTGCCTGTACCCCTAAAAATATGTTTTGTTTAGCTTGTTGCTGAACTTTATATAAATGAGGTTATACTCTGAGGTTATTTTCTGTCTTTTTCTCAATATTTTGAGAAATTTATATATTTTGTTGTATGTAGCTGTGGTTCATTTTTATTATGGTACAGTATTAAGTTTTATAAGTATATCACTGCCTATCCATTCTACTGGTATCTTACATATGCATCTTGAACATAGCCACATACATTTTTCTAGGACAGTGGTTCTGTTTGATCTCCAGTCCAGCATTACAGCATCAGCTGAGAACTTGATAGCAATGCTGTTTCAGTCTTCTTCTCAGGCCTAATGAATCAGAAATTCTGGCGACAGGGCCCAACAATATATTTTAATAAGCCCCTCTGGTGATTTTGATGCATGTTAGCATTTGATAATCTCTGTTCTAGGGTGTGTAGTTGCCACTTAACTGGGATAGATTTTTTTGTTTGTTTGTTTAATATGAAGGTGATCCTTTATTCATTCGGCATGTTTGATTTCTTTGCATTTTCTTCAATTCTACATTAAAGTTGTGGTTACCAAGAGGGGGGTCATTGTTGCTCAAATGAAATCTGGAATTGCTAAACATATTAAGTAAGGTATCCTGGCTGTTTGTGACAACAGATTGTTTCTAGTCCATTTTGTTATATAAAAAAGTCACTCTCAACTAAAGTAACCACTGTATTTCCTTTGTAAAAAGGTAATTTAACTGGCTTTCCTCACTGTTGCCACCCACACAGGGCAAAAGTAGGAAATCTCCTTTTATAAAAGGTAAGAGCATAAAAAGACATTTCACATTAAAAAAAAAATCCTTCACGGGAATGTATCCTAAGTAAATAATCAATTATATGGACAAAGTTTTATGTACATAAATTTTTGCAACATTATTTATAACAGTGAAAATTAGACATAACCAACAATACAGGAATGGTTAAATTGAGTTGCATCCATTAAATGGAATATTATATAGCCATTAAAGTCATGTTTTTGTAAAATTTTTAATGCCATAGGAAAATGTGGCAATTCTGCAGTGGAAGAAAACAAACTGGTTACAAAATTGTTTACAGTATGACTGCAATTATATAAAAAGGTATAATATACACATAGCATACACAGGGGGAAAAGCTGTTAACTGTGGTTACTTCTGGGTTGTGATATTATCAGTATTTTTTCTGTTTTATACACGTCTGTATTTTTCAAGTTTTCTACAATGACTGTGTATTATAATACAGAAAAACACAGTTTATTAAAAAATTCCTCTGATGAACTGATAATTAGAATGTACTCAGGTACTATAAATATGTGGGACCATACCACTGTGCTCATCTTCTATAACTTTTATAGAGTACATATTCTTCTGATAATAAACTTACATTTCCTGTTTTATACATGTTACAACACTTTAATGAAAAAGGTAATATTGTGATTAGATCATTGTTTCATAACCTAAACAAATACTGGCTTTGACATCTAGGTTTTTCTATTTCCTAGAACATTTAAAATTAAACTCTTTTGTCTTTTTAAGTATGGCATACTGCATACATACATTTTCATGCATGCTTTCTAAAAACGTAATTCTAATTTACAGTTTTCCTAACATAAGGAAAAAAATGGAGTTATAAATCATTTAAAAACAGTCTACAGTCTTATCCATCACAAGCATGCTGATAGGCATAAACGTGTTTATTAAATGAAATGTATCCTTTAAGAAGAAAAAAAGGGAAGCCTGTATGTAAATGAAGTTGTGGATTCAATTAGTCAGAATTTATTCTGACTTGCACCAAACCATACAAAATCTTTTGAAGACTAGTGTAGTGTACATGGACACTCCAGAGTCTGTGTATGAATTCCATTGCAAGATCTCCACTTTCTACTTTCAGAAGGAACGGGAGCAGGATGAGGGGTATCACATAAGCTAATTTTTCAATACATGTCACGTCTTGGTGGGTCAAGGAACAAATACTGCCATGGGTTAGTGTTTAAGTACACGAACGTACTTTTCCTCTTTCTCACACCCCACCCTGCCCTGGCCTGTGGGGAGCGGGAGGCTGTTCATCCCTTAGTGGATGACGAGCCCTCTCGTCTTAGTTTCTCTCCTAAACCACTGAATGGTCATTGCTGTGAACTCCAGCCAGGATGGTGTGGTTGAGGGAGGAGGCGGAGCGGTTTGAGCCTTCCGCGGGGCCGCCGCTGTTCTCACTGCACTGGCAGCACAGGATCTGCCTGAAGGTGGCGCTCATCTCCTTGTCGCGGTAGGAGTAGATGATGGGGTTCATGGCAGAGTTGAACTCGGCAAGCAGAAGGAAAAACTTCTCATAGGCCAGAACGTCACACTGCGGGCAGCACACGTCGAGAAGTAACAAGACCAGTCCAGGAGTCCAGCAGATGATAAAGGCACCAAGCACAATGACCACGGTCTTCAGAAGACTCATCATGGTATCCCGATTCCGTCGGGGTCCAGAACTATGCCGAGACATCCTCATAGTCCTCTGGCGAACATAGCCAAAGATATGGGCCTACAGAACCACCATGACAACAAAGGTCACCAAGTTGAAAATGGCCCAGAAGACCAAGTAAGAGTCGCTGTAGAGGGGCGCCATGTTGGAGCAATTCTCAATGTCACAGATACAGTTCCAGCCCACACTCGGTATGGCCCCCATAACAATGGCCATGGTGCAGATGACCACAATCACCACCACCACTCGCCGATTGCTCATCCGCGTGTGGAGCTGCATACGGAAGACCGTAATATGCCTCTCAATGGCGATGGCCAGGAGGTTGGCCACGAAAGCCGTCAGGCTGGTGTCAATGAGGCCCTGGCGCAGGAGCCACGTGCTGACAGTCAGTCTCCGAGTATTGGGTCCTGTGTTGAACATTAGGTAGAAGTAGGCAAACCCAGCAAAGAAGTCCGCAGCAGCCAGATTTGCCATTAAGTAATAAATAGGAAAATGGAAGCGGCGGTTGACATAGATCGCCACCATGACCAGGAGGTTAGCCAACATGATGAAAATACAGACAGTGATTCCAAGCCCCATCACCAGCTTGCTGACTGTGTTCCATTCTGTGGCAAGATACTTTCCACTCCGGTTATAAAAGAAGGCGATGGACTCATTGTAGAAGCACTGCGGTTCATTCATGGCTGTGAACTGGGGCTGCGAAGCGACAGGGCTGGACATAAAGGCAGCAGCCATGGCAGCGCCGGCGTCGTGGGCGGTGAGCAGGCCCCAGCCCTGAGGCGCACAACACGAGGGTCAGATGCTCCTGGTTGCTGATCAGACTGTGGTCATGCTAGGAGCAACTGTGGACCTCTGCGACCGGCAGCTTGCGGGACTAGGGTGGCCACCCCCACACGTTGCATTTTCATTTTGTCGCTCTTTTCTTCCCACTTGAAAAGCTCTGGAAGACATCGCCGGGCCCGCAGAACCCCTAACGTCTGGCCTCTGGCGTAGTTGTGTCCAAACTTTCCAGCAGGCACAGTTCTCCCAGCGCAGCTTTTAACTCGAAACTGCGAAGAACGCGGAGTCAATTTTGCTGCCGGGAAGGTGCACACGTTTCCATTTCTGAGTTTGCGACTGACTGGGTCTGCAGACCAAAGCGAGTGTGACTGTGCTCCCCTTGTTCTCCATATCCATGATTCTAAATTTCTCTTCCGCTTTCCCAGTTTGCACTTGCACTCCTGGGATAGATATTTTAAACGTCAGCAGATGCCAGCATTGTGTGAGATTTTCCACTGACTCTATATTCTTGCTAAACTTGTAAAATTTTGTCAAAAAAAAATAAATAAAATTTTGTCTGGCTAGTGGATGTGTAATGAAATTTCATTTTGTTTTAAATTTACATATCATTAATTACTGAGATTGATAGATTCATATTTATTGGCCATTTAAATTTTCTTTCTGTGACATCACTGTTCAAGTCTTTTGCCCATTTTTCTGTTAGAATGTCTCTTGTACTCATTGATGAAGGAATTCCTTGTATATCCTGGATGTTAGTCTTGTTTTCAGTGATACATATTCCAAGTATCTTCTACTCCATGGCTTTTTTCTGTGGTTCTTTTTAAGAAAAGTTTTTTATTTTAAGTAGTCAGAATAATGTTTTTTTCCTTTGGTACTGAAGAAGTCCTTCTGTATTGTTGTCTAAAAGCTTTCGTGTTTCTTTTTTTAACTTTAAATCTTAGACCCACCTGAAAGCAGTTTTTGTATATGGTTTGAGGTGGGGATTAATTAATTTTTTAAAAATATGAATACCTAGTTCTCTCAGGAACAATTTTTTTCCATTTTTGAATTTTTTCCCCTTTAAAAAAATTGAAGTATAGTTGATTTACAATGTTTCAGGTATACAGCAAAGTGATTCAGTTGTACATATATATATATTTTCCATTTCAGATTCTTTTCCATTAGAGGTTATTACAAGATACATATTGAATATAGTCCCCTGAGCTATATAGTAGGTCCTTATTATTTACCTGTCTTTTATATAGTAGTGTGTATCTGTTTATCTAAAATCCCTAATTGATCCCTCCCCCCTTTCCCCTTTGGTTTCTATTAGTTTGTTTTCTATGTATATGAGTCTTATTTCTGTTTTGTAAATAAATTCCTTTGCATCATTTTTTTTAGATTCCACATATAAGTGATATCATATGGTATTTATCTTTCTCTGTCTGATTTCATTTAGTGTGATAATCTCTAGGTCCATCCATGTTGCTGCAAATGTCATTATTTCATTCTTTTTAATGGCTAAGTAATCCATCATATACCACATCTTCTTTATCCAGTCGTCTGTCTGTACACATTTAGGTTGCTTCCATGTCTTAACTGTTGTAAATAGTGCTGCTATGAACATTGGAATGCATGTATCTTTTTGATTTAAAGTTTTTATCTTTTCTAGGTAGACATATGCTCAGGAGTGGGATTGCTGGATGATATGGTAGTTCTATTTTTGGTTTTTTGAGGAACCTCCATTTTCCATAGTGACTAAACCAATTTACATTTCCACCAACAGTATAGGAGGGTTCTCTTTTATCCACACCTTTTCCAGTATTTACTATTTGTAGACTTTCTGATGATGGCCTTTCTGATCCATGTGAGGTGATAACCTCATTTTAGTTTTAATTTGCATTTTTCTAATAGCAATGTTGAGCATGTTTTCATGTGCCCGTTGGCCATCTGTTTGAGAAATGGAGAAATGTGTTTAGGTCTCCTGCCTATTTATTGATTGGATTGTGTGTGTGTGTGTGTGTGTGTGTGTGTGTGCGCGTGCGTGTGTGCGCGCGCTGTTGGAGCTGTTTGTATATTTTGGAAATCATTCCCTTATTGGTTGCATTGTTGGCAAATATTCTCTCCCATTTTGAAGGCTATCTTTTTATTTTGTTTATGTTTTTCTTTGCTCTACAAAAGCTTGTAAGTTTGATTGGGTCCTATTTGCTTATTTTTGCTTTTGTTCTCAGTACTCTAGTAGATGGATCCAAAAAAATATTGCTGTGATTTATATCAAAGAATGTTCTGCCTAAGTTTTTCTATAGGAGTTTTATAGTATCTGCTCTTACATTTAGGTCTTTAGTCCATTTTGAGTTTATTTTGTATATGGTGTTAGAGAATGGTCTGTTTTCATTCTCTTACATGTAGCTGTCCAGTTTGCCCAGCACCAGTTACTTAAGAGGCTGTCTTTTCTCCACTGTGTGTTCTTGCCTTCTTTGTCATAGATTATTGACTGTTAGTGTGGGTTTGGGTTTATTTCTGAGCTTTCTTTCCTGTTCCATTGATCTGTGTCCTAGCAACAGTTATTTTAAAAGATTACCTTTATGCACTGCTCAACAGTCTTACCTTATCATGAGATGTCAAGAATCTCTGTGTTTTGTCTTTTTCTGGGTCTTGTTCTGTTTGATTGGTTTTGAAGTTACTACTTGAAAATACTGTTGTTTTATAATAAGTATTCATATTTTTAAAAGAGTATTGGCTGCTTAGTTCCAAATACCTTTTAGAATCAACTTGTCAAGTTCCTAACCTTATGATTCTGACAGGGATTGCATTGAATCTTTGAATCTTTTTAAATTTGACATCTTTCCATTATGAGGTTTCTACCCTATGACCATATGGTGTAACTGTTTGTTCAGTATCTTTCTGTGACGTTTTATAATTTCCTCTGTAGAGACTTTATCTACTGTTAGATTTATTGTCACAACTTCATATATTTTAGAAAAACACTAATGTTAATAATGTGATTAAAATTTTATTTCTGACACATAATATTTTAGTTTAAAGATTTTTGTGGAAGTCTTCTATTTCTAGTATGCTAAAATTTTCTCCCTTATTCTGTTTTTGTCATAAATTTTATTGATATTAAATCAGCCTTGAATTCTATGGATAAATGCAACTTGAACCTGTTATATTATCTTTTTTATACATTATTAGATTCTGTCTTTATTTATCAGTGTTCACAATTAAGACCGATGTATACTTTCCCTTCCTTCCTTAGGTTCTAGGGGGTTTAGGTATCAGAGTTTTACTACCCTTATACATTGAGCTGAGCTGAAGAAGTTTCCTTTTTTCTATTCTCTATAAGAGATTAATTAACTTTGTAATTATTTCTTCCCTAAATGATTGCTGAGAACTTACCAGTGAAGCTATATGGGCCTGGAGTGTTTTGTATAGGAAGATTTTTGACTACTCATTCAATTTCTTTAGTGGCTACTAATCAATGCAGATTTTCTGTTTCTTAAGTCAGTTTATTGAATTACATTTTTCTAAGAATTTAGCCACTTTGACTAAATTTTCAAATTCTTGACATAGATTAGTTCATAATAGTTTATCTTTTTAATATCTGAAGATCAATAGTAATATCCCCCTTTTCATATGTGATATTGATTAGTTGTGCCTTCTCTGTTTTGAGATGTGTTGTATGAAAATAGTATAAACTACAGTTATTTGTGTCAGCTAAGTATTATTAATCCTAAAATACCAACACAGAATTATTAGATATATATCATGAATATTGCAGTCATGATAGCTCATTGTATTTTTGACAGTATAATATGTTGATCTATAGACAGTCTTTGCATTTTAGCCATGGATCACACAATTGAAAAGGTAGACTAGGTTCACAGAAACCAAGTAAGAAGAGAGTTTCAAGAAGAAAGGGATAGCCAGTAGTGTCTGGGAAGGTTCAAGGAGAGGGAGATTGCAAGCCTTAGATTTGACAGAAATAGGTCTTGTTAACAGTGGTAAACCTCTTAGTGTCATTTAAGACTTATGACCTTAAGTTAATTCTTAAGGCAATTTTGGTTTCAAAATCTATAAGGCATTGGAGGTAAAGTTTCAGAAGTCTTAGCTAAAGAAATGGCAACTGTGTTGTTTTTTTGTTTTTTTCACTTCTTTAAGTTATTACTTTATGCTGAAGGGTAAATTCACTGGCAGGGAATTTGGGGAGCTTTTTTTTATTCTTAACATTCATCCTGTAGATATCATGGCCTAAATCCAGAATTTTAGTGCTTTCATTTTCTAAGAATTCTGAATTACCTTTTATATAAAAATCTGATTTTTTTATACATGATGCTTTTCTGATTTTGCTCACTTGTAATATGTCTTTAAATTGTGGCCCTATATTGAGTTCTCCTGAAAAGCAATATAGAAGCTCATGAAAGTATTGATGCTGGTATCATGCGTCACATCTGTGGAAATTCTATTTAAATTTAACACTGAAGATTATTTTATCTTTTTCTTTTGTTACAGGAACTTGTGGCCCTGAAGCCCTGTAAAGCTGCAGAGCTGGTTGCTACTCACTTTTCTGAACAGATCGAAACAGTCCTTAAGAAACTTCAGGTAAATTCTGCAGAACATCTAGTGGAGAGACAGTTACTCAATAGCCACCTAAGAAATCTTTATTGTAATGGTTTCTTCCATTCATTGTTGCCTTTTAATAGTAGTTTCTACACATTGGGTGTGTGCATGTTTAGAAGCAATTCTGTGATAATCTGAATCTAGAAATGAGGGAGTTTATCTTTGTGCATAATGAATATTACCATCACAGAAACATTTTTGTGATGGTACTTAAGTAAGTACATAACCTGTATTTACTCTAAAGTCGTAATCCACAAAGGGTCCTCCCCCCCGTCCTAACTCTTATCTTTTTCTATAGTTACTGTGACCATATTCTCTTTGGAGTTCATGTTATTTGTTTAGATTTCTATCATGCTCCTATTGGGCTAATGCTGTCTATTTAGAACTTTTTTTTTGGGGGGGGGGATCTTAGCTAGAATACAGCTGTTTTAATGCTGAATACTGAGATGCTCAGTTTGAAGTACTATTTAATAGACCTAGCATTCCATTTGTCACTACTGTGGTAGTGCTAGTAGTGAGTTTTGCTCACTACCATTGTGGCCACAAGTGATAGAGATAGGGATTAGGACAATAACAGGGGGGTGTAGCACAACTGAGAGTCCTCAAGTAGCAATGATAGTAGTAGAAGTTAGGTATGCAAGAGGGAAACCAAAGTAGTGATTGGCGGGGGGGTGGCTGACATGGGCGATAGAGATATGGATTTCATTTCATTTCATTCATTCATATTCACACTACATACTACTGTGGGCCCCACTCTGTACCACAGTATGGTAGGCTCTGGGGGGACACTA